CCACGCAGTTGAGCAGCATCCTGAGCGCCAGGGTGGACAAGCGTAGGATGGCAGCGGGCTCGGAGGCGGCCCTCATTGTCAAGCAGGCGGCCACGCGCGTGCCCAAGGCTTTCGTGCCGCCTCCTATGCACCAAGCACCGCCAGTGAAGGCTATGCCCGCTACCGCTCCTCCTCCTGGGCGTGATTCACAGGTGCCTGCCGTGGGTGCTGCTGCGGCCGTTTCCCCTTTCTTGCGTCGGACCACGGGCGGAAAGGGTCTGTTCTCTCCTACGCGAGAACGCCGTCGGTCGCTGGCTCGGCAACGCCTTGGAGCATGGCGTGCACGTACTCGTCTGCCGGATGGTCGTGAAGCTCTGCTGGTGGATCCAGGTGCTCATGATAACTTGACTGGCAGCGAGTGGTTCAAGCGAGTGTCGGCCATTTGGGCGGAGAGAGGTATCACGGTCTAATGTATCAGAATGGACAGGCCCCTCGGTGTCGAAGGTGTTGGCAACAATGCTGACGCTTGTCTGGACCGTGGTCGTGTTCCTCTCGCCTTGGCTGACGGTGATGAAGGTAGCTATGATGCGCCGATTGTGCCAAACTCATCGGTGCCGGCGTTGCTTGGCAATAAGGCTCTCCGCCGCAACCGTGCCATCGTGGATTGCTTCAACGGCATTATGAGCCTCATTGGGCCGGGAGATCATCAGCTCTTGTTCCCGCCTGGTTTTACATGATATCAATTGGAGTTGTCTCAGTCGGGTCACTGGATGCTGCCGGTGACGGAGTTCGCGGGTCAGGGTCGTGGCCGTGGCAGTGCAGGCTCTGGTCTTCATCTTCTTCACTCTGCCACCGCCTGACGGGGCGGCGGCGCGGCCTCGAGCGACCCGAGCCCGGCGCGTCGCTTGAGTGCAGGTCGTGCAGTTGAAGCAGTGCCGGAAAGGACTGATTCTGCCTTGTCTTTGAGTGCAGCTATTCTTGCTGGCGTGTCACCTCGAATTTCCCCATCCAATTCTACTGCGGCGGCCAAGGCCGGAGTGATGTCAGACAAGGTCGCGTCTGCGGGCGTGGGCTATGCTGGTGGCGAGCCTGCCGGGTTTGAGCTCTCATCCTCGACTGCGGTGGCCTGGTCGCGAGGTGCTCCTGGAGACCGTGAGTTTCCATCCCCCGGTGCTCCGGCAACGCCTCAGGGTCTGCGTGCCGGCCCTCCTGGTGGCGTCGACTGTCCTGGCGCCGTTGGTCCCGTGCTCAAAGCATCAGCGACCTGCGCCGTTGGCCCCTCATGATCGTGCCCCGGCAGAGCGGGGGGCCTTGCGTGATGAGGTTCCCGATTCGTGCACTGATCACTTGGCGTCCTTGTCGCCTGTTGAGAATTCGGCAAGCTATTTTGGAGCGCCCTCGACCTCGACCTTGATGTTCGTCGACGACTCAGACGAACAGGTGAGGCAACGTACTTTGCATGAGAAGCTGGCCGCGGTCGGTATCGCGTCCTCTGCAGTGGCTTTGCGATCGAAGGAGATGATGACCACCGCTGCTATGGACCGCGCCAGCAAGACTCTACGTGAACGTGATCCCGCGCTGCCCTGGGTGGTGCCTAAGGGAATATCGCTCTCAGGCCCTACTAGACATGATCTTCGGCGGGGTTATGCCGTGGTTTCCTTAGTACAGTGGCAACTAAACGCCGAGCGTCCGGTCATCGTCGAAGGCAGTGCGGTCTCATCTATTTGGGAGATTGGTGGTTGGGATCAGTTGTGTAATGATCATCGCCTCTTTTGTCATATTGTCAGGTGGCGTCGCCGTGGCATTACGCATCCTGTTTTTGGAATACCGAGCCGTCGGGTCTCCAAGCTGCTCACCAACATCGCGTTGGACACTAGCTACGACACCTGCAGCTGTCCTCAACATCGCCGGTCTCAAGACGGTCATCATGAGGACGTGCGTTCTGAGCTGCGACAGTTCGTGCAGGCGATCTCTTCCATGATTGTGAAGCCTGTTGTTGAGCGTCGTGGGCGACCTCTGGAGACGGTGCCAGAGTCAATCAAGTCAAGCAACAACGCGAAGGTGAGGCACGACTACCCGACAGATGCCCGAATGACACAGAAACAGCGTGAGGCAGAACATGGAAAGAAGGTACTCCCACGAAAGATGGAAGGTTACGAACGACACTGGGACGATTGTGGTGATGATCTCAGTTCAAAACTGTTGGATGGTCCCGACTTGTGGTTCGATGACTACAGCTACGACATTTACGACACGGTATGTTCTGATGACGAAGGTATGGGCATGTCGGCACTGGTCCATACGGAGGAGGATTTGACTCTGCTGCGCCCGGATGGCATCTTCTTTCTCGGCTCCGGTTCTGAGCATCAGCCATGGAGGTTTACGGACTGTGCTGAACAGGTTTACTACTATGACGACCCAAAGGCGATGTATCTGGATTGGGGTTTGCCGTCGGATGAGCAGTACTACTGTGATGTGTTGGAAATTTGTGGTGGGCTTGAGCGCGCCGCTCAGATTCTTGTTCGAGGATTACATCGTGAAGGTTTTCAACGTGGACCTTCATGTGACTTACGCTGTGGAGTGGATCTCAGCCGACCGTTTGATTTGCAATGGATGTGGCAATCTGTGCTTCACTGCAGGCCGGCCGTCATTGTCATCTCTACTCCCTGCACCGGCATGAAAGGTTGGCACCATCTCAATCGAGTCTTGAATGCTCGTACACGGGAAGCCAGCCGTGCTCGGTCGTCACATTTGGGAGTCTGCTGTGCTGAGTTTGCCAAGCATCAGATTGATGTCGGCAATCACTTCGTGAATGAGCAGCCCCTTGGACCGGATGTGTATGAGTTGGAAGCCTGGGTAACACTGCGTGCAGATCACAGAGTGGTGTCTGCTGTTTTTCACCAGTGTCAGGTTGGGCTGGTAGAAGAGAAGTTTCGGCTGCCTGTGAAGAACGCGACGGAGCTTTTGGTCAGTGACGAACGACTCGTTCGACGTTTCCGACGCCTCTTGTGTCAATGCCTCAGGGCCTGTCGACGTCATGCTCATGCTGAAGGCAGTCATGTGACGCGTGAGCACCAGGTGTGGCCGTGGCGCATGGCCTCTTTCATTGCTGACGGGATTGCCGAGATCTTTCGAGAGCGATGGAAGTCAAAGCCGCCCCGTGTGCACTGGATGAAGTTTTCGGTTGATGAACGTGACGCCGATCACATCGGTCGATTCATCAAGCAGCGCAGGTTAGATTACGCCAAGTTCACCAAGGGCCAGGACTGCAAAACCACGTTGTGTGCCACTCATGTGTACCAGCGTATCTGCTGTGGCCTGGCTGTGGGCACGATTGCCAAACAATTGTTGAGTCGGATGCAGAGTTCGATTCGAGGACGTGAGCGAGCTGAGGGTCGACTACGACAGGCCCGAGTGCCAAGATATGACATCTCAGCTTTCCCTGTTTTTACCCCTGCAACCTGTCCAGCGTGTCGAGGCAGGGCATCTGTGCACGACCCTCGGCATGCGTGATGCTGGTTGCCGTTATCCTCATATCCAGTCGGTGGGTTCTAAGTGTCCTGGGTGCGTGGCCGGAGCTCCTCGCGCTGACCCGCGGCTTCTTGCTGACGCCAGGTGCCGTTGGCAATGGGCGGAGTCTCGAGGTCGGCCCGCAGCTCGTGCAGCAGCTGCAGCTGCTCATGGTGCAGCAGGGGGCGCCTCCGCCGCTCGCGCCGCTGGTGCGAGAGTGCCAGCGCATCGGGGCCCAACTGCTGATGACCCAGGAGGTGGACATACGCCGTTGGAGGCCGCAGCAGGAGCTGAGGTGGCGGCGTCGTCTTCGTCTTCGTCATCCGCTGCTCCCGCGCCCTGGCGCCTGCGGCTGCGTCTGCCGCTTCCCCCGCGTCGGCTGCACCTGCGCCGGCGCTGCCGGCGCCAGCGGTTGCGCCAGAGGCCGGGGCGGCACGGCCGCCGCCTCAACCGCCAGTCCGACCGCCAGGAGTGGACGCTGCTGTGGGTGACGATGTGCTTGCTGTCCCTGCGGATGACCCCGCTCGAGTGCAGCAGCCAGTGGCGCAGCGACGAGCTCGGGCAGCCAGATCCGAGATAGGCGCGCAGGCAGATGCGGAAGGAGCTGACTGGTCTGATTGGTCCATGGGCCGTGCCATGAGGTTGTTGAGAAGTCAGAATCCCATGATTATTAGGGGAACTCTCATGAAGCTGCATATCAGGATGTGGCATGCTCCGGCGTTGCGGCTTAAGGAGATGCTCATCGCGGCTGGAGCTCCCGAGCAGGCAATCGATCTCATACAGGTTGTCTCTGACACGTGCCCGGCAAGTCGAGCTTGGCACCGCCCTGGCAGGAGACCTATTGCGACCAGCAGAGTTGTTGCGGAGTTCAATCAAGACGTTCAGATCGATCTATTGTTCTGGAAGACGAAGGTAGTGATGCATATGTTGGACACCCTAGTGCGTTTCTCTGTGGCGGCCATCCTGCCAGATCGTGTCGCCAGCACCATCATCGCGGCCGTCACGCACTATTGGTTCAGGCTTTTCGGCGCGCCAGTCGTATTGACTTCTGACCGTGAAGGCGCGTTAGACAGTGATGAGGCGCGAGCGAGCATGGGCTTCTCGTTGGCAGTTCAAGCTCAACCTTCGCCCTCGAGGTGCTCGCGCACGTATGGTGGAAAGGCATCACGAATTATTACGGAAGCAGTTACATCTTGTGGACGAGCAGTGCGCTCGTGATGGTGTTCGTGTGCCCGACGAAGCCATTCTTGATGAGTGTGTGTTAGCAGAGAATTGCATGATCGCGATCACTGCTAACATTATCCCCTACAAGGCAGTGTTTAGTCGCACCATCCCGATGTTGACTGATCTGGAGCCGGCTTCGGCTACGGCGCTGGAAGACATGGATGGCGGCATCGACGGTGTCTCGCGTCATGTCCATCGGTTTCGTGAGATGGCTATTGGTGCTGTTGTGAGTTCGTCAGCTCCTCAGCGCATGGATCGTGCTCTTCAGTCTCGCACACGCCCAGCAGGTGAATGCCAGAACTTACAGCTCGGAGATTTGGTCGACATCTGCATGGGCCCGCCGAACAAGGACGTCTCGGGTTGGCGGGGCCCTGCAACGGTCTTGAACATCAATCGTACCAGTCAAGGCGTGGTGGACGTGCAGTGGCAGTCCCGTGCCATCAGCTGTCGTCTGGCTGATGTTCGCCATGCGCTCACCATGTCTGTGATGGTGGCCGCCGAACACTTCCGACAGTATTGGGAGCTTCCCCTGACTCTAGTGCAGGAGATTGCCGAGAGTATCGAGAAGGGAGCGGTCACCGTGGCGTTTGTGAGTACTTCAACAGGCTGGAAGCTTTCGACACAATGTGCCAAGCACCCCATCATCTTCCATGCTATGCTGCATGTTGCATCATGTGACTTGCGACTTCAAGGCGGCAGTGGCGGCCGTCTGCGACATGGTGCCAAAGACCTCGAGTGCATGCCCGGTGTCGACGAGACGCTGCTTATTTTCTGGAAGTCAGGTTGCCCATTCGATTGGCACTGGCAGCAAGCTCTTGGCACTGTGCGACTGTGCCTTCCGAAGTTATTCGGTGGCGATTGGCTAGACATGGTGTTTCTTGAGTTCTTCATTGTTTCTCTCGATGATATCGAATTGGCTCGACAAGCGGTTCCTGATGTCCCGCACCTCGGGCGTATGTATGAACAGTTCGACCCCGACGAGGGAGCGCTGCCCCCTGGTGCGCGCTTACCTGGCGTACGCCGACCCAGGAGCGAACCCTCGGATGAAGAGCAACGAAGTAAGGTTTGTCGCTTTGGTCGTCAGGATGTTATCGGGTTACCGGGTGATCGCAAGAGGCAACTATCAACTGGTTCAGAAGGCAGTGGCAATCTTCGGCCTCATGTTGCTCCTTGTTTGCCGCATGCTTCCGACGAATCGTCAGAGGATGCGAGAGGTACGGAGTCAGAGCAGAGTGCTGGAGCTAATGATGAGGACGTGGAGGCCGAGCACGAGGATCTATTCTGGACATTCGTTTTCATGGAAAAGGAAGCCTCTTCTGCCGCCCACGTCTATCTAGGTGGACAGGTTCCGGCGGTGGAGCTGATGGAGGCGGACCTGGACGAGCCCATCAGCATTGAGTTTCCACGCAGACAGGCTTGGCGACTCGGGCTTACTCCGAGCACGATGGCCAAGAATTGCGCGCTGGTAATGAATGTTTTCAAGGCCCAGACCTCGCCGGTCATCGAGCGTGATCTCAATGACCTCTCGGCAGCAGAGATGAAGAAACATCATGAGTTGGTTGTGGCCGCCAAGCTGAAGGATCTCAAGCGTTGGGTGTCTCGTGGTGTTATTGAGCGGATGAACAAGAAGGACGCCGGCAATCGTATGGACTCGCGCTGGGTTATCAAGTGGAAGATCATCGGAGGCCAGCGAGATGTCAAGGGCCGCCTCGCCGTGAGGGGCTTCAAGGGTCGTCAGAAGCATGAGAAGGATCGAATGGGGACTGCTGCGGGAACTGCTTCTCGCTGGGGTCAAAGAGCGATTTGTTCTTTCGCAGCTCAGCATGGCTGGACACTGTGGTCACTTGATGCTTCGATGGCGTTTCTTCGTGGCAAGACGTTTCAGGAACTTGCCGAACGGTTTGGATTCAATATTCGCAGTCTTCAGTTTGACCTACCTCCTGACGGCGCGGCATTGCTAAATCAAATAGAAGGATTCGAGAATTTCAACGAGGTCATGGAGACGCTGAACATGAAGAAGCTTGGTTTTGGTACGAATGGCGCCCCATGGGCGTGGCAGGTCGATTTGTCAGATACCTTGAAGGAGCTGGGTTTCTTTCCTACCGAGGCGGATCGGCAGCTGTGGCTGCTGTTCGACAATACAGTGTTGTTGGCTGTTCTCGGCGCTCATGCTGATGATCTGAAGGGTGCCTGCAGTGATGATGCACGGGAGTGTATATTTGACAAGTTCCGTGAGAAGTGTGAGGACGTGACGGTGAATATCGCACCGTTTGAATGTGTTGGCATACAGCACTCACAAGACGAAGTGAGCAAGGCCATCGCGATATATCAGAAGCATTATGTGTCTCGGCTCAGGCCGATCAACGCAGCGTTGTTCACAGGCAAGCGTGACGAGGAGCTGGTTGGCAGTACGTTACAAGGTATGTATTGGAGTCTCCTTGGTGGTGTAGCCTGGCTGACGCTTACGAGAGCTGATATTGCTGTGTTTGTTGGTCGATTCCAGAGGCATAGTCAGAAGGTCACGGTCGGAGACATAAAGGGGCCCAATACGTTGCTGAAGTGGATCAAGAGAACGCCGTTCTGTATCAAATATGCCCCTCTGGAACCACCGGTATGCTTGCATGTTATAGCTGATTCAGCCTATCGTGCTGACGAGGATGATTGCTTGGCGGTTCGAGCTGCCATTCTTGTGATGATGGAGATAAGAAGTGGTATTCCAGGTGGATCGATGCATGTGCTTGATGGTTATAGTCGTAAACAGCCCAGACTGACGCGCAGTACGTTCGGAGCGGAACTTGCAAATCAGTTGGAAGCTTGTGAGCTGGGCATGTCGCATCGCGGTTTCTGGCTTCAAGTTCTGACGGGGTCCCGTGGTGCAAAAGTACTACATGAGGCAGTTAATGCCATGTTATTGAGATTTGTTTGTATCTCGTGGGCGACGCTCACGCTGTATTTACAGCCATCACTGCAGAAGAGATTGCAATGCCAAATGATCGGGGTCAACTGTGTGCTGTGCGTGCTATGCGAGACCGGCTTGAATGTGGATCGTTGACAGGACTGCTCAGATGCGATACCAGAGATATGCTTTGCGATGCACTCACGAAAGGTGGAGTGGCACGAAACGCAGTTGTGGAAGCGTTCGACACCGGACAATGGCGCGTGATTATCAAAGATCAGATACAATTGTGGCCGAATCCTAGTGTTTCTAGCTAAAGAGTTGTGGGCGATTGTTGTCCAATACCTGATATTGATCTGTTCGGGTTGTGCGAATGCTGTCAGGATACCTGATCTTGATCATGGAAAGAGCGTGTTCTACCGCTGCTGGCGGAAAACCGGGGGGGGTCACTACCGGTTCGAATCCCCCCCCCCCCCGGCAAACCGGGGGGGGTCACTGCCGGTTCGGACCCCTCCCCCCCCCCCATAGTTCATTATGAAAAGGGGGGGGGGTCACTGCCGGTTCGAACCCCCCCCCTCCCCCCCCCTTCGAAAACCGAGTGAGGGTGCGGACAGTGGTGGGGGCGGTGTTGGTGGGGACAGTGGTGAGGGGACAGCGGGACAGTGGTGGGGACAGTGGGACAGTGGGACAGTGGTGGGGACGGTAGCGTGGTGGGGACAGTGGTGGGGACAATGGTGGGAACAGGGGGGACAGTGGACAGTGGTGGGGGCGGTGGTGGAGGGGACAGTGGTGTGGGGACAGTGGGAATGAGGTGGAAACAGTGGGACAGTGGAGGGTACAATGGTGGTGGGGACAGTGGTAAAGGCGGTGGCGAGGACGGCGGTGGGACAATGGGACAGAGGTAGAGTGGGGACAGTGGTGGGGACAGTGGGGACAGTGGTGGGAACGGACAGCTCAGTGGGGCAGCGGAGGAGTCAGTGGGACAGTGGGGACAGTGGGGATAGGCAGTGGTTGGGTCCGTGGAGACAGTGGGGAGAGTGGAATCGTGGTGGGAACAGTGGTGGGAAGAGTGGGGACAGTGCGACAGTGGTGGGGGCGCTGGTGGGGACAATAGGGACGGTGGTGGAACCAGTGGGGACTGGTGAGGACAGTGGTGCTGGGAACAACCGTGGGGGATGTGATGCGAGCGGTGGTAGGGGCCGGGAGTCGTTTGCTGGCGGTGCGGTGGGGGGGGGGGGTCGAACCGGCAGTGACCCCCCTCCGGTTTTCGAGGGGGGGGTGTGTTCCAACCGGCAGTGGCCCCCCCCGGTTTCCGGATCCGGAGGGGGGGGGGTTCGAACCGGTAGTGGCCCCCCCGGTTTTCGAGGGGGAGGGGGGGGGGTTAGGGGAGGGGGGGTTTTGCCGGGGGGGAAGGGGGGGGGGGGGGGGGTCCAGCAGGGGGGGGGGGATTTTCGGGGGGGGGGGGGGGACCCCCGGGTTCCGGAGGAAAAGGTTGGCAGTTTTCCGCAGTACAGCGGCGGTGGATCACGCTCTCTCTCTGATCATGTGACGTGTGAGACGATCGTGGACAACCTGGTCTTGACCGACCTCTTCCATGTGAATTGCGTAGAGTAACTGTTTTCAAACAATCTTTTATGTCGCAGTGTGCGGGGTCGTGGGCCGTCTGTATTCTCCTTATCTTTGTATGTGCTCATAGCTTTTTCGGTCCGAGCTGGTTTGGGCTCCAGCGAGCCCGTCGCCTGCAGGACCGAGGCACCGGCCTGCTTCCGTGCCCCCGCCGCGGGGCCTCGGGGGCTGCCATCGCGCCGCGCAGGGTGCTCGGCGTGCTGCTCTTCCTGGTGGTGCAGGAGCTGCACTACCTGATCCCCGAGAGCGGGGTCCTCGAGCGGGGCTTCGGCGGCGCCGCGGAGGGCGCCTTCGGGGAGGAGGTGATTGAGGGCACCACCATCACCAGGTGGTCGATGGCGCCGTGGGCGCGTTGGAACAGGATCTACGTGAAGAGCCCCAGCAAGCCGCAGGGGGTGGCGATGCTGCTGGTGACGAAGGCAGGGTCGAAGCATCCCGGCCTGTGGGCAGCAGCGGACCCCACCCATCGCATCGTGATGATTGACGTGAGGGACAAGAAGCGGGTGCTGACGAAGCCGACGGCGAACGTGGAGTGGACAGAGCACCCTGGCGTCTCCGCTCGGAGCCGCGACGCGGTCATCACCGCGGCGGAGAGGGCGATCGCCAGGCTCGAGGTCGACTCCGAGAACGGGAAGCTGAAGGTGACCAAGGCCCCTCCGAAGTCCAAGAAGAAGAGTGCGAAGGGTGGCTTTGTCGCTTGGCTCACGGGCGGCGTGGGGAACCTCTTCACGGCGTTGTGGGCCAAGCGGAGCTGGGGTTCGTGGAGCGCGATCTCCTTCCTGTGCTGGCGTGCCTGGCGTTTCTTCCGCCTGGGCTCGATCTTCAGAGCGGCCTATGATGGGGCCCGAGCTGTCTACGAGACCGTCGAGGACGTCCAGCACGTGTGCGACACCATTTACGAGTACTACGAGAGCGGGGACCTCGAGTATGTCTTCGTGGCCATCGGCGGGACCCTGGTGACGGGCTACCTTCTCTGGGCATGGTCCTACGGTGACGCGAGCGACTCCGACTCGGACAGGGGCTCCACGATCAGTGATGACGAGGATGACAGGGTCCTGGGGACGCAGGTCGCCGACTCCGACGATGAGCCGCCCCCGCGACGCCTCTTCGCGGAGTTGGCCAATCAGCAGCAGGCACTGCAGAGGGCGATGACCGACCTGACGGGGGCAGTTGCGACGCAGTCTCTCGGTGCCAGGACATCGCCTCCACGTTCGAGTGGCTCAGACCGCACGTCGGACCCAGGGCCCTCCAGCCCTGAGGGGCAGTCCGTGAGCGAGGGTGAGGGGCAGCCGACCACATCCCAGATCGACGACTTCATCTCGAAGCTGAACGAGCATGTGGAGACGGTGCAGACGGACTCTACACGGGCGACTGCTGGTACTGGGTCCCCGGCGAAGTCTCTCGACAGCGCGGGCTCCTGGGAGCAGGTCGGCGGTGTGGACGAGGAGCTGCATGATCGTATCCAGTTACTGAAGGAGGAGAGCCGCAACCCGCGCGACGGCCTGCTGGCCACCCTCGAGAAGTTCAAGCACGTGCGCATGACGCCCGTGGGCGGCGTGAAGACGAGGGTCGCGCCGACGGTGCTGCACAAGCTGTACCGTTCGGGGCGCACGGCCAAGATCGAGCTGGGCGAGTGGCTGAGGTCGAAGGAGTTGCAGCGGGCGAGCATCAGCTCGGAGGTGATGATGTTGGCCATGGTGTTGGACCGCATGATGGCGGAGGGCGCCTACGACCAGCTCATCAACAGCCCCGCGGCGGAGCTCACTTGCTTCCGCCTCTACGCGATCTGGAAGGCCTACGAGAATGTGAAGTGCCTCAGCGACTGGCAGCGACCGAAGGGGCAGCAGAGCGGGAGCAAGTGGCGCTCCAAGGTCGATTGGGCCTTGGCCGACGAGTACCTCAAGGTGGACGGCGACACGGAGCTTGCGAACCTGAAGGCCGACGACGAGGTGACGGAGAAGCTGAAGAGGAGGGCAACCATCGCGAAGCACCTGCAGGGCGCCAAGGACAGTGGCGCAGTGGGTGCAGATCACGAATAGGTTGCGGCCGGGGCTCCCGTGGCAAGTCCTGGCCAAGCGCACGCTCTTAGCGTAAGGCCACACTCGAGGTGGATTCGGGTGCTGCTGTGGTGCCTCGGCGCCCTGCAGACACCTGGGAGCTCGCGGGCCTTCGAGGTAGCGGGCTGGTGCCTGGTCGCGTCCCCCTGGCTGTGCGGCTTCTCGGGCGCGGCCA